ATCTCGTACCGGTATCCCGTACGAGGAGGGCTTCGAGCCGTATGTGCTGGTGCAGCGCCGCTTCGTGCCCTGGTACGACGAGCGCTTCAAGGGCTACCGCAAGAACAAGGTGGGGGCGGTTGGCTCCGCCCTGCTGGCTGCTGCTGGCGGGCGGGCCTGGTGGCGGCACGCTGGCAGCTGCAAGCTGGCGCGCCCCCGCTGCCACCACCACCACACTCTACACACACACACACACACCGTCCATGCTTGCACCCGCGCGCTCACCGCCGCCGCCCGCCGCCACCCCCGCCGCAGGTGGTGCACCTGATGCACATGTTCCGCCTGGGCGTGGAGTTTGCGTCCACGCCTCACGGCTACGTGGTGCACTCGCCGCACCCGGTGGCCAACTCGTGGAACACCACGCAGGCCACAGGGTTCTGGTACAAGGTGTGTATGTGTGTGTGTGTGTGTGGGGGGGGGGGGGGGTGCTGGGGGTGCTGTGTGTGTGTGTGTGTGGTGGTGTGTGTGTCATGATGTGTGTGTGTCATGGTGGCTGGGTTGGGGCACGGGTGGTGCATGCATGCGGGCCAGCTTGACCGGCGGGGCAGCAGAGAGGATGCAGGGACTCGTGGGAGGGGGGGGCATTGGAGGCTGGTGAGGAGTGCGCGAGCCCACCACTTGCAAGCCCTAGCCTGCATGCCTGCCAGCCTGCGGGCGCCCGCCGCCCTCCCTCCCTCACCCCCTCACCCCGCCTGCCCGCCGCGCCCCGCCTGCCGCCCCGCAGCTGAAGAAGCTCTACTCCGACAGCCGCGAGGACATGGCCGCCTCCACCTTTGTGCCCGCCGCCTCCTTCAACTGCGACAGCCGGGAGCCGGAGAAGTGGAGCTTCTACCGCCGCCTGCGCCGCTGATGGCGATGGCGGGGACGCCCCCGGGGCCCGGCTGCCTGGCGCTGCGCGGCCGCGAGGCGCGGGCTGCGAGGGGCGCCCCACGCTCGCCAGGCAGCCGTCGCCGGCGGCGCCCCCCAGAGCGTGCCTCACGCTCGTGCGCGGCCCGATTTTATTGTCGCTCGACGCCTCCCCATCCCCCTGTTGCTGCTGTGCATCTCCAGCGGGGCGGCCGCCATTGCGGCCGCCCGCGCCTTCCTCTTCGGTGGGCTAAAGCCTATCTCATGCCTGTTTTGTACTGACCAGCCACAACGATTCACAAGGGCAACCAGCACACCCCAGGGAGAGCGGCAGCAGCAGGAGCAGTGGGGATCATGTCGTGGGGGGTATGGAAGGGGAGGGGTGGGAGCGGGGTGCCGACTAGGCGGGGCCGCCCCTCCCCAGCAGCCTCCCCCTCTCTCTCCTGCCCGCCACTCAGTCCCTCTGTGGCGCCAGCTTCTGGTCCACCACAACCATCTTCACTCGGTCCACAGTCACCTCCTGCTCATCCCGCCGCCCGCTGCCCTGCGCCCAGGCGTGCGGGGGTGCGGCGGCGGCGCGGGCGAGGTGACGGCCGGGGACCGTGCGGCTCCCGGCAGCTGCTGCTTGCAGCGCGGCGGCCGCCTGCTGTCGGCGTGCAGGGCGCCGGCTTGCCCGCGAGCACCGCCCACAAAGCACCGCGCCGCACCTGCGTGGGCGACAGCCTGAAGGTGGCCCCCGACAGGATGAAGGTCCAGACCTGCACGCCGCAGCCAGCAGCAAGGGCTCAGCCAGGCGGCCATGCGGGCCGGGCGTTCCGCGCTTGGTGCAAGCGTGGCACGGCAGGCGGGCAGAGGTGGGAGGGCCGCGCCGCACATTGTCGCAGAAGCGGTAGATGTCCAGGTGGCCCTTCAGGCTGCCCTTGGCGGTGACCTTGTTCTCCATCGTCTCAAACACCACCTCGTCATACTGCGCAGGGGAGGCGAGCAATTGAACAGGCCGGCAGTGGTGAGCGGCAGAGCGGCGGCTGGCAGACGGCGGCTAGCGGTGGGCACGACCCGTGCGGCCTGTCCCCTGTGCTCCTCTCCGCCATCTGCACTCTGCCAGGCCCCTTCGCCTACGCTGGCCTGTGCATTGCAGCGCAAGCGGCGAGCGATCGTCCCACCTCGTCCAGGATGCGCAGCGCCAGCTGAGGCGGGAGCTTCCCCTCCTCCACCAGCTGGTCTAGCGCGTCCACCAGGCTATGGCCCAGCTTGGACTGCCGATACAAGGCGGAGCACGCCATGACCAGCCTCTACGCAGCCATCAGAGGGTTGCAGCTGCTGCCCAGATGCACAGCAAACTGCACGGCGTGTGGTGGTGGGCGGGCGTTGAAATGGGCGAGGGTGATGTGGCGCGAACGGGCGCAGCAGCGGCGGCACATCATTCTCTCCCCCCAAATGTCCAGCTAACTTGCTCTAAACGTGTGTGCTTGTGACACCAGCGGCCTGTGTCATGCAATTTCTCCTTAAAACCAGTCCTACACCATCCAGCATCACTTGCAAAGCGGTGGCGCCGCCGCGACGTGGCGCGGCATCAAAGATGGAGACCAGATTTTGTTTCCTTATGATGAAGCTGAACGATGGATTGATTAAAGTAAGGTGGGATTGATTAACGAATGGTTGCTTGCTGCTGTAAAGCTCTCTGCTGGCGCCAGGCCTTGTTACCGCAGCGCAGTCGCCGATTGTGGTGTGCACACTGTGTGCCGCACAAGCGTACACCTTGACTAGCTTTCTCGCAGCATAACATCTTTTTCGACGACTTGGAATTGTGAGGGACCCGGGGGCTCATGCCCACCCTGCAGTCCTGTTCCCTGGAGCCAGCCCGAGGCCAGGCGGCGGCAGTCCTGCAGGTGGCGGCGGCGGGGGCGGAAGGCGGAGGCGGCGGGGCAGGTTGTCAGAACGCATATCGTTTGGAGGCTCCCTAACCTCGATGCTGATGCCATGGAGGCGCACTTTAACGGTGATTGAACGTCCTGGCATCCGGCGTACTTGCGTAGGGCATGTACTTATGCTCAGACTTGTAAGCGTACCCAGACTGGAAGGCGCGAAATCTTTGGATCGCCGCAACATGAGGCGCTCTAGCCCCCCAAATTACCCGCCCAGTTCCTGCGAGCGAGTCCACCCGTAGGCCCAGGGCTGTGCCCGCCAGAAGTAAAGAAGAGGCCGTGGTGGCGCCTCTGGCCCGCCGAAGGCTCAAAATGTCTCCGCAAATGTTGATGGTGGCGATCCTGGCCTGGATGGTCGCTGGTAAGGCCTGGAGGACTCGGCCCGCGGGCATGTATACAGGCCACTCCATCTATATGCCTTTTGAGCCTCCGCTGAGGCTGGTTGCTTGTGTGGGCTTACAGTCTGGTTTCAGCAAGAACAAGCTTGCAGCACAGACTTTGTTGTTCGAGCAAGGAGGGATGAAGCAGTAGAACAACAGGCAGGACAGGCCAACTGACAGGTCACCGAGCGTTTAGTGTGTGAGCGGGCAGACAGTACTGCATGTCGTGGAGCAGGTGTGGTGCGGTAAGAGCAAAGGGGGTGGACATGAGAGTGGGGGTTCAGGGCGGGACTGCAGGCAGCGCAACGGTGGCGGTCAGCCAGCGCTGGTGACAGGCGGCAGCAAAGGCGGCGAGGCGGCACGGTTTCTGGCGGAGGAAGCGGTGGGGAGGATGGGGCTCAGCAAACAGGTCAGGAAAGTTGAGGCGCAGCGGGGCGTAAAGGGGGCAGGTGAGCAGCATGTGGGGGGCATCTTCAATGCCGTCGTGGCAGTGGGGGCAGACTCGCTGCTCTCGGGGGCGCCGCGTCCAGCGGCCGGTCTCTTCCGCGCCCCAATGCGACCCGGTGCGCAGCTGCGCCAGCGCCTCGCGGTCCTGCCGACGCCGTACTGCATCCAGGTAGGTCTCGCGCTGCCCAACCATGGCGGGCGCCAGGTTGAGGGCGCCCACCACGTTGTGCACATAGTGCTCCAGCCGGCTGGCGCCGCCCTTCGCCAGCGCCTCCTGGAGCTGCGCCAGCTGGCGGCGCTGCGCAGCTTCCCCCAGCTCGCCGAGGTCAACAGGTGCTGGCTGCTGCAGGTCCAGCTGCATGCCGACCGCTGCGAGACCGGCCGCCAGCTGGGCAGCCCAGGACTGCTGTGCCAGGGGGTGGGCGCCATCTGCGAGCTGCACGCTGGACAACAACGCTTGCTGCAACAGGCTGCCGGGACGCTCCTCCAGCGTCTTGTTCCAGAGTTTGGTTTGCAAACGGGGAGGAATTGGGAAGCAGAGGGCATGGTTCATGCCAGCGACCCCACCGTCGCTCATCTTGCAGCTGGCACTGCAGGCGGCGCCGCTCCAGCGCCGCTCCGGAGCAGCGCTGGAGCGGCGCTGCCTGCCTGCTGCTGGATCCAGCTGCCGATCGCCTGCCTGGTCTGCCTCTGGCCCCTGCAGGCGTGTGTGCTGCGCCCGTGGTATTGCCTGGCAGGAAGTATGTCACTCTTGTAGGCCGCGAGGGCTGCACCTCGAGTGGTGAGACCGGCGCTGACCATGCCAGGCGCCTGGCTCGACGCGACTGTGTTGCCGGCTGCTGCTGCCGTCGTCGCACCCCATCCCTGCGCCCCTTCCCTCCCGGCAACTGCCTGGAGGAAAGTTGGGTGGCTACTTCTGCGATGAGTGAGTAGTCTCCCCCACTGCAGTCTCGCGCAGCTGGTTTGCCTACCACCTGCAATGGCAACCAGCTTGCTTGTAGTGGCTCCCACCAACCTGCTCAGCCTGCGGCCTCTTACTGTCCACCCAGCTCAGCTGGCGGAGCCCTTGCTTGTGCCCTGACCCTGTGCCTGTGTTGTGTCTTTCGCTATTCTGCAGACGGGGAGACGATATTCAGTTCTGGCCCACCGGCGGCGGCAGCCGCTCAACCTTTGTCTTTGGGCCCAGCACTGCCGCCGACCTGACCAAAACCAACGCCACACTGTCGGTGCGTGGGCCGCCAGACCAGCAACCTGTTGTGCAGCAGAACTATGTGCCGCTGGCCCCGGAGCGGTCCTGCTGGCTGGGGCCCTCGCCGCAGCTGGTGGCGTGCTTGTGCGTGGATGCCTGGCCGCCAGCGCATGCCCTGCCACCGCTGCCACCTTGCACTTGCTGTCCCACACGTGAGCTGACCAAGGTCTGCTCACGCGGCCTATCATAGCGGGGTGACTGTAACACAGTAGCCCACACACCCCGCCTTCAAGTTCCCTACCCTGTCTCACACACCATGCGCCCCTACGCACGTGCTGCAGCTGTTAACCCGGTCCACAGGGTGCCCCACCAAGAGCTTCCTACGCAGCAGCAAGACCTGCGCCAACACCTCCGCCTTTCTGGGCGCCAGTGGCAAGTAGGCGCTCGAGTGGTCCGGCTCCAGTGACAGGTTCAGGCTCAAATCGGCTGACCGCCCCGGTTGCCCCGCGCTCTATTTGGGCGCCATCAAGCCCCAGAGCGCAGCGCCCGCCTGCGGCAGCCCGCATCTGGGCCTGTACCCCAAAACCCCGGCCAACGCCTCGCTGCTACTGCTGTGGGATATCGTTCCCATCGTGATTCCTTCCCCTCCAAGTCCGCCGCCTCGCCCGCCGTCACCCAAACCGCCATCCCCGAAACCCCCGCCTCGGCCCCGCCCACCTTCACCCAAACCCCCGCCTCGGCCACGCCCGCCCTCCCCCAAGCCTCCCAGGTGAGCGCGCTCGGCATGCATGGTAGTGGCCCACTGGAGAGGAGGGGCAGCAGCATGGATGCCGCACAGCCGCCCAGCGGGTAAGCCGTGCCCTACCACACCTGCGGTGTCTTTCCCTGCAGCCCGCGCCCTTCGCCCCCAAGTCCCCCACCCCCTGATGGCAGGCAAGCTGCTGCGGGCGCGCTGTTGGGGCCTGCAACCTGACGCTGCAAACACTGCAGCAGTCGGGCGGTTTGCCTCACCCGCCGCGTGCCTCACGCCCCGCCTGCTGCGCCCGCGCGCTTGCCCGCCGTC